GATGTTTGCGGATAAAAGCAGATGTTTGCCGATAAAAGCAGATGTTTGCGGATAAAATCAGATGTTTGCGATTAAAATCAGATGTTTGCGGATAACATCAGATGTTTGCGTATAAAATATGATGTTTGCGGATAAAAGCAGATGTTTGCCGATAAAAGCAGATGTTTGCGGATAAAATCAGATGTTTGCGATTAAAATCAGATGTTTGCGGATAACATCAGATGTTTGCGGATAAAATCAGATGTTTGCGGATAAAAGCAGACATTTGCAGATTAAAATCAGATGTTTGCGTATAAAATCAGATGTTTGCGGATTAAAACAGATGTTTGCGGATAAAATCAGATGTTTGCGGATAAAAGCAGACATTTGCAGATTAAAATCAGATGTTTGCGTATAAAATCAGATGTTTGCGGATTAAAACAGATGTTTGCGGATAAAATCAGATGTTTGCGAATAAAATCAGTTGTTTGTGGATAAAATCAGATGTTTGCGGATAAAAGCAGATGTTTGCGGATAAAATCAGATGTTTGCGTATAAAATCAGATGTTTGCGTATAAAATCAGATGTTTGCGGATAAAATCAGATGTTTGCGGATAAAAGCAGATGTTTGCGGATAAAAGCAGATGTTTTCGGATAAAATCAGATGTTTGCGGATAAAATCAGATGTTTGCGGATAAAATCAGATGTTTGCGGATAAAATCAGGTTTGCGGATAAAAGCAGATGTTTGCGGATAAAATCAGATGTTTGCGTATAAAATCAGATGTTTGCGGATAAAATCAGATGTTTGCGGATAAAATCAGATGTTCGCGGATAAAACCAGATGTTTACGGATAAATGCAGATGTTTGCGGATAACATCAGATGTTTGCAGATAAAATCAAATGTTTGCGGATAAAAGCAGATATTTGCAGATTAAAATAGATGTTTGCGGATAAAAGCAGATGTTTGGAGATTAAAAAAGATGTTTGCGGATAAAAGCAGATGTTTGCAGGTGAAATCTTATTAATCAGACTTTTTTGGACTAAATGAGATGTTTGCGGATTAAAACAGATGTTTGTGGATTAAAATAGATGTTCGCGGATGAAAGTAGATCTTCACGTATAAAAGCAGATGTTTTCAGGTGAAATCGGATAAAGCAGACGTTTGCGGATTAAAGTAGATGTTTGCGGATAAAATCAGATAAAACCGGGTGAATGCAGATATAAACTCAAATACAGGTATTTGCGGATGAAAACAGATAAAAGCAGACATAGATCTAAATAGATAAAACCCGACGTTCGCGGATAATATTTATACCCGCAATTGCAGATAAAAACCGACATGCCGGGTAAAATCAGATATGTCGGATAAAAACAGATATAAATGGACATAAAACTAGCTTGGTTTTTTATCCGCAATCATCCGATATTACCCGTCTTTTTCAGCAGGGCAGTTAAATCTCCAGAGTTTTTATCTGTATGGACCGGATTATAAGAAAAAGCATACATTTGCATATTTTGTCTATTTTTAGAGATTTAAATCCTATTTTTCTAATAACATGCTGATGGTGCATATGTCCCCTATTTTTACAGTAGGTACATTATAAGTTGATTTGTGCAACCACAGTGAATGTAGAAAAATATATACGAAGCAGTAGGACGTTCATTAAAAATCTAAAGAAACAAATAGGAGGCACAACCTTAAAACATAAAATTTGTATATACAGTGTTCCGAAAATGGCACACTAACGGAATACCACATTATTAATAGGAAGGATTATTTTAAGTAATAAAATAATTACAAAAAGCTATGGGATATTTTATTTGTAGATTTAAAAATGTTAAATTTTGACATAAAGTAAGCGTACATTAAGAAAACTTTCAAACCCCTGTATATCTGCAAAATTAACGTAGTTCAATAGGATACTGATTTATAACAATTTTGTCAAAATCGGAAACATGCAAAAAAACTGATGTTTTTCTGCTCCTTCTAGATAATAACAAGCGTTTGTATTCTAGCATATATATATATATATAAGTTTGAGTATGAGTATAAGATATGTATAACCGGCCCCATTGCCTCATCGCTCCCGGGCCCCGCATAGGCCTCTGTTTCCTTGCGCCGATTTTCTTTCGCCACCAGCAACGGCGCGGCTTCACCCGTGATTGCTGATTGCGAATGTCCATTGCGTTCCGTACTGTCCCCTAATTAGGGCTCGAAATGGCAATAGTTTTAGTAGTCATTCCCGGGTTCGATGCTATACGCTCAGTAGGGTCATGAAGGAGGTAGGACGGGAGGGATAGATATTTTGGTGTTTGGGGGACAATTGGTCAATTCTCATATAACTTGTTCCGATGCTGTATCCACTTATTTTTGTGAAAACTAATTCTTGCTCAAGGTTTTTTTTAGTGTAATAAGCATGTAGCATTTCAAGGTAATGGGAACTTAAATTATGACAACCCTAATCTATTAATTTTTTCCTAAAATGCAGGCTTTATGTTGCAAATGTCACGTAAGTTACCGGTCACCAACTGCAATATCCTAACATCGATGAATATTTCAACAAAATGGCTGTTCAAACAACTAATGTTAGTGCTTGATTAACTAAAAATAGACTTAAGATTGACAAAAAATTATTTTATCCGAAATCTGCAGTAAAGTAGTCAACAATCGTAAATTAAAATAAATCGGCAGTAAAGTTCTACTTTACTGCCGATTTCGGATAAAATAATTTTTTGTCAATCTTAAGTCTATTTTTAGTTAATCAAGCACTAACATTAGTTGTTTGAACGGCCATTTTGTTGAAATATTCATCGATGTTAGGATGTTAGGACATAAAGCCTGCATTTTAGGAAAAAATTAATAGATTAGGGATGTCATAATTTAAGTTCCCATTACCTTAAAATGCTACATGCTCATTACACTAAAAAAACCTTGAGCGAGAATTAGTTTTCACAAAAATAAGTGGATACAGCATCGAAACAAGTTATATGAGAATTTACCAATTACGCAGACTCAAAACTAAGTACGACGCGGTACCGCCCTAGACCAGGCAGTTAGTATTACTCCAAACATTTTGGATTACTGTATGTAGTTCGGGAGTTGTTATTTTGCTGCAGGAGCCTACGTCTTGGTCTACGTTTTTGTCGTTATTGTTCGTGTCCGTATCCAAGTAGGATTGTTCGTGTACATGTGTCTTCAGTCTTGAGGCCGAAAACCATCAATAAATAGTTGAGTAGTTGGATATGTAACTTGTAGCTTTTGATGTTTTTTTTAATTGTTTATTGCCGCAGTAGTGCGAAATTTCTAACAATTTTTTAGTTTGTTTAGCCCAAGCACGTTTTGTCTTTTTTTTCTTAATTTCCAAAATTAAGTATTGCATTTATTTATTAGTTAAACAAATGACAAGCGCATTTATTTTGTTATAATCTAACGTGTTTACAAATAGAATAGAGTTTGATTAGTATTCTGTTTTTACTATGTTTGGGTTTTCATGATTTATTGAGTGTTAGTTTATGTTTTAAGTGTTTATGTTTATTATTAATATATTGTTCTCGTTTGGGTTAAAATTAACGTTGTTTTATTGGGGCCTTTCTTTAAGTTACTGGGTTTCATGCCTTACGCATTTGTTGTTGACAGATTTATTGTCCTTCTCAGCTTTGGTGTATCACCGCAATATATCGAACCTATAGGTTCGAATGGTAAGTTTTGTTTTTTTTGTTGTTTGTCTTTTTTCTTCATTATTTTATGGTGTTTGGTTAGTATTGTCTTTCTAGTGTTTCTATTGTTACTGATGTTTATTGTTTTTTTTTCTAGAGTTTAAGCAGTGTGCCTTTCTAAGGGTTTTAAAGGTATCTGTCGTATTTAATTTTGCAAATTATGTGTTAGGTCATGCATATGCTTGAGGATACTTATTAATTTTTTGCAGATGGCCTCTTCCCCTCTTGTTTGACCTCTTTTGTTTGTCTAGTAAAAAGCTTCCAGGTGGTAGGACCACCCAGAAGCTGAAACTTGACACTTAACTCTTTCTTATCACTTAACACTTCACTCTTTACACTATATTAGATTGCACTTTATGAAAATTGTTTGTTGGTTTTGTACTCTGTTGTTTGTCCAGTGAAAAGCGTCCAGTTGAGGGGTGGTATGGCCGCCCAGAAGCTCACTTGTCACTTAACTCTTCCTTATCACATAACTCTTAACTCATTCTTGACCGTAGGGTAGTCTATACTCACTGTAGTTGTTTTACTATAATTTGTTTGCACTTTTTAGAAATTATTTGTTGCTTTTAAGAGCGTCTTGCCTTGTCAAGTGCTGGGACGTGACTGCGTTTTTATTCTAGCTTATATATATATATATAAAAATAAAATTTGATTTTGCATGCCAAATAATAAAGCAAAATATTTTTGTGACGGAGTTTTTTACTAAAAACTTTTTAGAATACCTCCGTTTCAGAAAAAACTAAGTTTCGAAAAAAACTCAAGTAATTCTTTGATGCACAGTTTTTTTCTAGAATCTACGATGGTTTATGTAATAATTCATAATACATTTCATTAAGGAAAGACAACCATATTTTTTTTATCAAATCTTAAAATTAATCGCATTGTCGGTAAAAAAGTTAATGTGTGTTTTGTTACATATTTTTTGATTTTAATTTTTGCAGGAACTTATAGCCCCAAGTATCCCTATTAAATTTTCTAGAAGACTGTGTACCCCTTCATAAGCAAAAAATGCGACCCCGGTGCCCTCCAAGTAAGGCCAAGGGGTATTGGGCGGTTATAAAATTTAGGGGTGTTGCGTTATTTTTTTGTTGCTTAGTTTATTTTTCATAACAGGTTATTTTTTTGCATTTTAATCAGGTTTTTTTCTTTTTTAATAACTAATAGTATTATTTTAAAATGTTTAATACAAAATATTACAATATTAACTTTTTTAACCCAAACTTTTAATCTAATTTTTTGTGATTTTGCACTAAAAGACGTTAATCTGTTTATTAATAATTAATTAATCAATATTAATTTTAGAGTTGCTAGTTCAGCCCAGAGAAATTTGCAATGTTAAACACCTTGAATTAACTTTAAATGATGTAGAAGATTGGTTCTACTGCCCTATGTACTGTCCGAAGAATATAAGTAATTGTTATTTTTATGCAGGTAAGCACGGATGTTAATAATTGTTATTATGTATGTGTACTGAAATAATTATATGTGCTGCACACCAGATCTACCCAGTGTTTAAAAATTGGTTGGTGATTAATTTTGCAGACTATTACAATTACTACTTAGGAACCTTACACTTAACATATCCCTGAATTCGTGATTATCTTGGCATACAAACTAGCCCTTTAGAAAGACAACATTTTAGTGTTCATATTCAAAATCATAATATTTCAAAACGAAAAAGTGCTTGTTCACCTCGTTCAGTTGATAATGTTATGTTATTCGCTGCCCGTCGCACAGAGGCGAAAAATCCAAAATGTATGGTCGAAACTTTTTTTTAAATTTTAAAATCACGTGATTTACTTTATAAAATATAAAAGCTAAAAAAATAACCTTTTAACTAACTAACTAATAAACAAATCTATGAAATCGATGTTAACCTACTTCCACCCACCCGATTGTTCTAAAATTGTGAACACTTTTTGTTCTGATGACAGAACAATCTAGTATACTGTTTATTATAATTTATTCAAAATGGCTGCCACTCCAAGATGGTGAATTATTTTTTTCTTTACAACCCCTTGATATGGGTATCAAATGAAAGGGGTTTTCAAGCAGAATACGTATTCTGCGTTACGTACGTGACGCCATTCTAATTTCAATATGGCGGATGTAACTAACAAACCAATTTACTCAACTAAATTTTAAGACTAAAAAATAAATAATTGTTTAAAAAGTTAAAAAAGTATGAAGTATTAATTATATATGTACTTCAAATATTTTGTGCGATTAACAAACTTGTCACTTCTTAATGTACAATGACTATGCTAAAAAGCGTAATGCGCTTTGTCGAAATTAACTAAAAGAAACGCAACCAAAAAGCGCCCCATGCTTTTTATCATACATATATGATATGACTATAGTCATTGAACATGACAAGTTTATTAATAGCACAAAATATTTTAAAAATGTAATTAAGTTATTTTATAATTATTTTTTTGAGTTGATTTACAAACGATAAAATTTTTAGGCACTTCTTTTGCAAAAAAAATAACTCCAAATATCTTTGACTTTTTTAAATCAGATATGACGTATATAAAGCGCTTAAGACCGAATTAAAAAGAATAAAATAAACACTGGAATGTATTTCCAGAAACAGAAGGTAAAATTTTAATAAAAAGTAAATAATTAAAATTAAGTTTAATATAAAAGGAATACAGAGCTTAATCACTCTGTAATCTCTTCTTCAATATTTTCATCTGAACTGACAGAATTTTTATAAATTGTAGGTTCATGCAAAAGCTTAAGGACATCTTCATCGTAGCTTTTTAATTTTTTTTGTTGTAACTTTCTTAAGCTCGAAATATATGGATCTGAAGATACTAAAAGCACATTAAAGACATCTTCTAAATTTTAAATTCTTGAAAATTTTCTAGCATGACTTTTACGGTAAATCTTTATATCCTTATTTCTAGCTTCTTGAGCTTCTTCCCCCAATTGACCTATTGGAAGTATTGCTTCTGCTAAAATTTTAAAGCTATGCATTAAAAGCTTGTGGACTGTGGTTGGCATAGGGTACCACGGATACAGCTCCACGAACTTTTTAACATCATTTTTATGTTAAGGTCAACTGACATATAAAATGTCATTATTATTGGTATTGGAGGACCTCCAATGGAGGTATATAATAATTTGACTTTTGAACTGAAGTCTTTTAAAAAACAATATTTTTTGAGTAAAACTGCAATCTTCCGCAAGATTTTTTTAATTGCGACTCATAAACGACTAATGTAGGCAATAATTTATAAAAATAACTTCACTCGATCGCTTTCGATCAGCAACCAAATCCTTCACTGAATTACGTAATAATATACAAAAATAAAGCCTTTAATGAAGTCACTTTATGGATTCAAAGAAATCAAAATTTACTTATTTTTTTTATATAAATTAATATTACGTTGTTCAATTGAAATTATTGACACCGTAATTTCATTTGGATTTGACGCATTTTAATATTCATTTGACATAAGATGCCTTACCTACACTAGCGTCTATAAAACGCGCATGTCTAGGAGCCAGGGAGCCAAGATAATTCGGTGCCTCTAGACGCTAGTCTTACCTACTAGCTGCAATAAATTTTGGAAGAAAATTATTGATTTGGATATTTTTAGTTTCGACCGCAAAAATTTGCATTTTCGCTTCTGTGCGTCGTTCCAACCCTATTAAAAATGCCATATAGAAACACAAAATAAAAATCTATCTGGTTCAATATAGGAATTTGAAACAGGCATTGCACTATTGAACCAGATAGAATTCCATACCTGGAAAACCATATAGAAAAGGGATTTCTATATGGATTGCCATATAGGTTCATATTGCTCTATCTGGCCCAATATGGTTTGGGCGTGAAAAAATTATTACCATATAGATCCATATTTAACCCTATAGGGGAATCTATATGGTTTAATATGCAATTTTCGTTTAAATATATATACATTTTAAAATGGAATTTCATATTCAACCATATAGGGAAACCTATATGGAAAAACACATAAAACAGAAACCAGATAAATCCATATAAAAATCCCTAAATTGTACATTTTAAAATGAAAGTCCATATTAAACCATATAGATTCCAAAGTGTAAACCAGGTCGTTCCATATAGGACATATAGAACCATATAAATCCATATTAGTTTCCATATCTGGATCAATATGGGTTCTATAGGGCATTTTTAATAGGGTAAATCCTTGACAAGCCGAATTTAAAAAAAAATCATTTAACACATACTGTTTAAAGGGATGTATTTTATAAATTGGAACAATATATATATATATATATATATATATATATACGACGCTGCACGTCGTTTCACAACCTTAACAAGCCGAATTTGTAAAGAATTATTAAAAATTTAAAATGGTATAAAATCTGTATAATTTGGACTTTTTAAATTAAATTTGAAATTTGTTGATAAACTATGTTAAATAATAAAGTGCACAAATTAAATTTATATTATATTTATTTGGGGCGCCATGGGGCGGGTAATGCCAAGCAAAAAGTTTTTTTCGCAAACTTCAATTTAAATTCTGCTTGCGCAGAACTTGTTTATTTAATATCATAAACTCATATAAATTTGGGTGGGTCCCATATCTAATTATAATAATTGAGATATCGGCAGTGGCGTGCAGGACGGGCCCCGCAGGAACCGCAGTGCGGGGGGCCTCCGACCTTAGGGGGCCCCGTAGAGAACCACATTTGGTGGTATAAGTGACAAAGGGGCCTCAGCTCAAAATTTGCGGGGGGCCCCGATCACCTTTGCATGCTACTGGATATCGGTATACCCAAAATCCACCAGCCGCCACTGATTTAAAATATGTACATTAAAATTTTAGATTACATTTACCATTTGATGACCAGTAGGGTGTCCGTTATTTACCAAGTTGATTTTTTTTCTTGCGACGCCCCCTAAATTTTTAGTCTATCGTCTAAAAAAAAATTTTAGACCAAAATAAAATCTTAATATTCATAATAAACCTTGCCCCAAAGACGATACATTTCCCATTCAAATTACATGGGATTTTGACACTATTTTCAGTTAATTCTTTTTTTCCCGCGCAAGATTACTTACAGCAATCACTCGTTAAAAAGTTATTCGAGGTGAAAGTTATTATTATTTCGATGAAAGTTATTAGTATATTTCTGAAAATAGATAATTCTGGTGGTATTAGGGTACACAATTTTTAAACCTGGAAAATAATAGACTGCATAACAGGTTCTAGTTTTCAGCTGTTCAATACGTGAAGTGACAGGAATTTGGAGTGAAGCAGTAATTCAAACTCAAATTATTTCACGTTGCATAACAAAATTAAAAAGTCTCTACGCAGAATACAGAAATGTACAAAAACATCTTAACCAAAAAAATAAAACAAAAGAGCAAGATTTGTCAAATAAACTCGAACAATTATTTGACATTGCTCACTGTGACGTTTTTAAAATGATTGACGAGGAGACAAAACAATTTTTTATTGATCAAAGAACTCGACGGATTTTTCATATAAATATTGCTGAAACAAATAATGAATTATTGCATTTGTTATGCAACGCGAATTAATTTGAGTTGGAATTACTGCTTCACTCCAAATTCCTGTCAATTCACGTATAACGATTGAACAGCTGTCATCAATAGATTTATTGCGATTTCTTGAGTGATGGTACAGTAGTTGCAGAACTTCTTTATTTGTTGGTAACTTTTTGCCAGTAATTGAACTTATTGTTTTTCCAATCAAAAATATATTTTGTCTTAGATCCATTGAACCTAAATTTTTATAGGTTAGAACTATTTGTGAAATTTTAATTCCAATGAGATTTTCAATATAAATTTAATTTTAAAGTTTTTATTTACCTATATGTTAAAAATTGCTCTAATTCTAAATTTTGTTTTTTGTGTATAATAAACAAGTTTTATTATATAAATAACTACTGTTAATGTACGACACAACATTCACAACAATATGCAGAGATATTTGTATACAATATAACAAATATACAATACTAAAAGGACTTAAAGCGCCGTCAAGGTACTAAATGCGCTTTAGCGCGCTTGCGTCAATAAAAATTCCGTGTGTTGGCGGGAATGCTTGTAAGAGTAATTTTGAGTCACTTACTGTATTGAAGGAAAACTTCATAAAAGTATACAAAACTTGAAATTCAATAAAAATTAGTTGACTGTGTGTTATAAATAAAGTCTCAAAAATGATTAAAACTAGAACCAGCTACCTGTTATGCAGTCTATTATTTTCCAGGTTTAAAAATTGTGTACCCTAATACCACCAGAATTATCTATTTTCAGAAATATACTAATAACTTTCATCGAAATAATAATAACTTTGCCGTAAAAGTAAAAAAAATCAGAAAATGTACACAGAGTTTAACTTTCACCTCGAATAACTTTTTAACGAGTGATTTAATCGAAAAATTATAAGAGACCTTTT